AACTCAGCCATTGCGACGTCATTTCCGGTGACCCCACCGAAAAAAAGTGTTTTCGCGTTGACAGCAGAACTTATAAACGGTGGGGGTTTTTCTGTTGAAAAAATAGGGTCTTTTATTGAATACTTAAAACTAGAAACTGGACGAAGGAAAAAGAAAAACATTAAAATTTGGATTTTTGGCAACGTTTTTAGCAAGAACATTCAAATTTCGCCAAAATTTTCACCACATTTTGGTTTCTTAAAATTCGATTTTATGAAAAAAACGAAAGTCCTTTGTCCAAGTCCTTGTCAATAGTATCACGAAAACGTGTAGCAAATTTCATGAAAATCGGTTAAATAGTTTTCGAGAAATTTTGACAACCGTCTTTAGAAAAAGCGTTTTGAGAAAAACGCGTTTAAAGATTTGAGTGCTGGTATAACTTCCCAGGGCTCTATCTTTAAAACTACTTCTCCTATCGACTTCAAAATTGAATACAATATTCTAGATGAGTTGTAGAATTGAAAAAAAAATAAAAAAAAAAAATTTTGTTGAAAGTCCCAAACCCATGTAACCCCTTAAAGAATTAGTATAGGTTTAGTAATTTATAAAGAATATTATTTCTTGTGCACTTAGAAAGAAAAAGCTTGTCTAATCGTTAGATTGTTACAACGCTTAATGAACAATTTGCGTTGAAGAAATGATAATGTCGATAAATTATTAGCTACACGTATTAATACTTAATCGTTAAATACTAACGTAAAAATCTCAATTCTTTTTAACCTATGATTTTTCCATCATTAAGTTTTAGATAATTTTATGTACATTAAAAGCTTAAGATTTAATAAAACATGATTAATATGAATAACGAAGAAAGATAACTAAATTAGGTTACACGTGTAACAAGAGATTATTCATTAGAAAGTAGTTATCACTAAAAGAATTAATGTACGTAACCAAATTATCTTATCTTCATTTTTTTATTTAATTTATAAATATTTATTTGATATATATTTATGAAGACCATTATTTCTAAACAAAATTACGGTACAGAAAATTAAATTAATAAATTATATTGTACTAGATATATCCAATTTTTTAGATAAGAATTCAATCAAATATTTTGTATTACATTRGACCTGGCCAAAAAGTTAAACAAAAGCTAACACTCATCAAATATTGTTACGAACGATACCAATTTTGTTGGCATAAATGTGATTGTATGCGTTCGATCATTCATGGGATAAATTATTTTTAATAATTTCTTTCTATCTGTTTTTAAATTGTTTTTTCATATTTCTTAAATGTTTAAATATATACAAGAAAGAGAAAATTATTTATTAGAACAAAAATATTAGAAATAATTTTAACATCTTGCGCAAATAATAAAGAAAAATTTAATCCTTGAATTACAGTTAACATATTATTTTTTATTACAGCGTTAAAATCATTATCGAACTCATTACTTTATTCTTGATTATTTACGGTCATATATAAATGCTACAAACACTTTCATAAGATTCTATTATAGATATCTGTGTTTTCAAGGAATTAAGACTACAGCATTAACCAGAATAACACAATTATAAGTTGGTCAAATGTATATAACAATCAATTAATTGTTTATCTCGTCCAAAAATAAAATTATTAATAAATGTGTCACAGGAAAGTTGGATAGGTTAAAAATTAAGAAAGTTATTTCGATCTTATTGAACGTCTCGTCCCTTCATCGGGACTTTTTCAACAACTGAAATTTTATTATGACTTTTTTTGAAAAATACATATTATATAAAACATTAAAAGATATTTATTTAATATTACCTCGATCGTTAATGTTCAGAGTTTTTTTACATATTATTACGAAGACATACATTCTTATATTTTAAAAAATAAACTGTACTTAACATTTACAAATTGTTATATACTAAAACTTATATTCAAACACTTAATCAAAACAATACTGATTCAATCTAGACTAATGTTTAATAGTCTAGATATTCTCTAGGTGCCCTCTGTTATGGTGTTCTATTTATAATTATTAAATTTTAAAATTTCGTTATAGATGATGTTTAAATTATTTATCTCCGTTCTAAAATTGATTGTATTATTGTTTGTTATATGGTACATTTCACTAATATTTCTTTTGTAACAATTCTCTTTTAAATCTAACAGATTTTCCTGTCGCAATATTTTATTCTATTATCCAACAACAATAAATATAACTGTAAAAACAAACAAGGTTTCCTTGAATTACAAATTTATTAATAACGCTTTAAAAAAAATTACATTAATGCTCTATAAAATATAGTATTTTATTGTAAAACTTTTATTGATAAATTCACAAGGATTTTGTACTACGATAATAATATTATACTTGATGGTTAAGAATTTATTTGATTTTTGTAATGAGAAATTATCCTGAATAATAAGCTTTATTTGTTTTTCACGTTTCCGTAAAGAATTAACTAGCAATTCTTTAATGATATTTACTAATCTTCATTGTTGGTAAGGGAACTTCTTTAGGAAGATTTTTGATATTTTCAAATAGAAGACATTGGATGAAATTTTACATCTTTTTTAAAAAAAGAGAAATTTCTTACAATATGTATTTAAGATTTGCTTTGAAGGAAATAGTTTTGTAGTTATATATATTTCTAATATTGTTATTATTATTTTCTCTTTTGTTAAGTCATAGAAACGTGTATTTATTAGAATAATTATTTTGGTTTACTGCATGACATTTTTCCTTATAACTGTTGTAACTGTAATGCCACGTGTTGTGCTTTGTTCAAAGTCTTTGGTTTACAAGCGTTGACTGCAATTTTTAAATCGTAATTTAAACCATAAATGAATTCAGTTAATCCACTTTTCTGTTCCTCAAATAACTTCAATTTCTTTTCCTCTAATGAAAACTTAGGATTTTTAATAATAGATTCTTCTACAAGATTTTGAGCTTGCAGAAATCTTATGTTATAATCTAATATTGAATCCAATCCCTGAATGCATTTATTCCTATTGATTATAGCATTCAAATATATTTCTGGATTTGTATTACATGCGAATAGGGCATCGAAAAATTCCTCTTCTGTCTTAAATTTACAATTATCTATTATTTCTTTTGCCATCCCAACTAATTTCTTTTCATGAACCAATCTGAGGAACGTCATTTTTTCTTTTTTAGAAAGACGGTATAATATCATTTTAAGCTCGTAATTAAAATCTTCTACAGCTTTATTAATTCCGTCGAATACAGGTACAAGATATAAGTACTCCTGTAAAGTAGAGCAACGTTTTTTACCAGGATTAATAAGAGTGAAAGGTGTATAATCCGTTTCCTCGACAAAATTACGAGGGTTTTTAGAAATTGATAATTTTTTTTCTGATTCTAATAAAGTAATTCTAAGTGTAAAATTTTCTATCGTTTCAGACAATTCGTCAATGATTTCAGTAATATCCTTCAGAATTATTTCCAAAGTCATTTCTTTATCATCTTCATTATCTTCCAATACTAATATTCGCTGCATTAATTCTGTTATATCTGAATCATCATTTGACAAAGAAGAAGTATTCATATCGGAGTTTCAATAACTTTTTTCAGTTCAATAAGATAAAATACTCATGTACACAGAACAATTATTTTATACTCAAAGTACAATC